GGGTCTTGAACGCTTCAAGGGGGTTTGGTACAAGATGAATTCTTGTGTTTTTGTGAACACAGAAAATACAAGAACAATTTAGCTTGCAAGGAAGGTTTAACAGGGCTGCTCAGTGGCATAGTGGGTAGCACTGCTGCCTTGTAGCATGCGTGGGTTCTCTCTGGGTACTCCGGCTTCCTCCCACACTACGAAAACATGACTGTTAGGTTAATTGGCTTCTCTAAATTCTCCTTAGGTGTGAATGGTTGTTTGTCTCTGTGTTGCCCTGTGATGGACTGGCGACCTGTCCAGGGTGAGCCCCCCTCTCGCCTGTAGATAGCTGGAGATAGGCACCAGCACCGCTTGTGACCCCAGCTGGGATAAAGCATGACAGCAAAAGGAATGGATGGAAGGTTAAACAGTTAAACAATATGAAGAAATGTACAAAGAAGCAGTGGTGAAGCAGTTGCTGCCTCTGCAGAAGTATATACATTTTGTATTGCAGCTGGGAGAGTCCCAATTACTTTTTTTTCCTTTTGTGGTAAAAAGATTGGAACTTTAAATGATCATAGAGGCCAGTTATAGTTTCATTATATCCACAGTAACTGTCTGTTTTTTAGGCAGCATTTGCTAAGTGTGCTCTGACTTCCATTTCATTTAGTGGCTTTTCATGGCACAGGGCATCTTTCACCGTGAATATTGAGAAACTCTTACCAGTCTTAGCCTGAAACTTGACATAGTCTATCATTTTGGTCCTGGGGTTTATTCACCTCTGCAGAACATAACATGTCTCCTTTCTGAGTGGCATGATGACTGTTCATGTACATTGCTCTGAATTATTTAAAGAGATGAACATAGGTTTATGAAAATCGTATTAAAGGATGAACAAGACTTGTTCAGTTTACAAATCATGTTCTGTTATTAAGAGAGGGTATTTTTCCATATCAGGAACTGCAACAAACCATCAAATTCTGTACATGTTCCGTTTTTCAGTTCATTCATACATTTTATAGACTTTCTGATGCATTTTTTTTCTTTTACTTAAAAAAAATTTCATTAGTAAATGTAACTTGCAGAAGTTTGTTTTTCATATTCTTTTTTCAACTTCAGTTTTACATTTTGCTTTGGTAGCAGAAAAAAGGAGTGACAAAGCCTTCTGCTTTCTCATTCAAGAGGTTCATTTGTGGTTTAATCATTGTCCAATGAGTTTGAAGGAAAATAATAGAGTCAAAACTAATGCTTAAAGTTTGAGAGGTACTGTAGGCACAGTTCGACATTTTGACATTTTCATGACATCAAACTTTATTCTGTGTCTTAAAAAATATACTTTTTATTCGCTCAATCTCAAAAGTCAGAGCTCGTTTGTGAAGATCTTTTTTAGAAACTGAATTTGTTTTATTCTTTTCTTATCAAAGCTGATAGTTCCTTTTCCATTCCTATACTTGGCACTCACCTTAGAGACAGTTGTAGCTCTGGTGATTAATGCCCCAGGAAATGAAGGTGTTGCCAGGGACAATTTGGGAACATCGTAACTTCCTGTGTTCTGCTGGGGCTGGAAGGGCTTGGAATGCTTTGGTGTACGACACCGAGCCTTTAGCTAATTAGCTAAATCAGCTCACTTGGGCTTAATTAGAACCAGCTCGCAGACACAGCCGTGTCCTGGGGCTCTTTAATTACCCCCAGATTCATTAGGATAGAGGAGATTCAAGCTCTAATTAACTGGTTATGTGCACTTGCAGGTGTGTGAGTTTATAGGCATATATGCCCTTGTAATAAGTGAATGAAGGCATGTTTTCCTACCCATTTGAAAAATAGAATTCAGAGTCCAAAGGGAAACACTAATAACTTGCAAAACTGTATTGCACATATGATAAATGTAGGAAAATGGCAAGATAAAGAAAAAAAAGAGACAGCTGAATTAGAGAGGGTTTTTTTTAGAAGTGGAAAAAAGACAGAGATTTAGAATGACGAGTGGAACAGAGTGTGTCAAATAGATAGATGAAGATGGAAGGATGGAGACTGTGCCAGCTTTGTGTAAACAGCACTGCTATCTTTCCTGTCTACAGGGCGTCAGCGAGGGATGCCTAATGTCTTTACATTGCCTCCACATTGTAAAGTCAAAATTTTATTAGACATTATGAAAGAAAAGAAATACAACATCATATCTAGTGTTGCGGGTGCTTTCATAGATGGTTTGCCTGCCCTTTTAAAAGTGTTTTCTGACTTTGCTGTTATAACAGACCTTTGCAGAAGTATATTTAGTCACACGGCTTTAAAAAACCTCATTTGTTATTTTTTGTAAGGTACAGCACATTTCACATCTGTGACATACAAAAGAAAATTAAAATTACATTTAAAAAGAGCAGTTTGCTTAAAAAATAGTCCCATTTAATGTGAAACCTCTAGAGAAAACGCAGTTCAACTATTCACCCTCTGCAGCTAGCGGATTAGTAAATGTTAGATTTGTTGCTCATTATGTTAGGTCTTTCTCCAAGCTGAGTCAGATTTTCATTCATTTGTGTCACCTACATTCCACCCCAATACCTGATCCTACTGATTTATACTGTTTAGAGGGACTAAGATCAGGAAGATGATATATTATTGAGGAAATTGACAGATCAACAACTTCTGAGGGAAAACCTTTATTTTTTCTTTTTGAATAACAAAAAAAAAATTATTCAAACAGTATCTTAATTGATAATATTTTTCATATAATATGTGGTAAATAATAAACCATAAAAGTATTAACTAATAATAAAACAACTTAAAAAGAGACAAAACCTTGATTAGTGAGAACACTTCAGTTGCAGAAAAAATCACAACACTTATTCAGCTTTGAAACAGACAGTGGAACTAGTTAAATATGCTCTGCTTAAAAAATACTAAAGGGAACACTTAAGCAACGCAGTAGAACCTATATTAAATGGTAAATTACCAATTACATTAAACTTCTGTAAAATAAAACTGTAAACTTAGGGAGCAATACTGATTGACAATCAATTTAACATGCTGTTGTGTAAATGGAATAGAAGACAATGTGGAAATTATTGGCAATTAGCAAGGCACACCCAATAGAGGAGTGGTTCTGCATGTTGGAACCACAGACCATTTCTCAGTACCTATTTTTTCATGTTGATGTTTTGGTTATTTTTTAATGTTCACACTCGTGGTCAGAGGTGGGTAGATTCAACATATTCTCATTATCAGTTCGTATGAAATCGTACGAAAAGTTATGCACACTATTTTGGAAGTTTTTCCTCAAAAAACCACATCAGTGCGCATGCGCTGGCAGACAGAAAAAAAAAAGCAGATCCGTGGACGGACGTAAAACTGGGAAAAACAGTGCAATCATCACTTATTCATGTCTCTAACTACGTTGCTTGCTGTTTTATATCTTAGGGTGAGGGTTAGGGTCAGGGTTAGGGCTAATTGTAATTTATATTCTATGTTCGTGAATGGTGCGTCAGATGCGCATGCGCTTATGATGAAAAAAACATCCAAAACGTACGAAATTACGGTGCATAACTTTTCGTACGATTTCATACGAACTCATAATGAGAATACACTGGTAGATTACCAAAAAAATTGTACTCAAGTAAGAGTAGCACTACTTTTGCAGTAATGCTACTCTTCAAGTAAAGTAAAAATAAAAAGTAGTCGACCAAGACATTACTTAAGTGAAAATTTAAAAGTATGTATTAGAAGTACTGAGTAATTGTTGTATAATAACATCAGCCTAGTATCAAGAGACTGGAGGCTCTACCTTCCTTAGACCTGAATCATATTGAGCACCTCTGGGACGTCGTGTCTTAATCCATCCACCAATGTTACATTGCACCACAAACTGTCCAGGAGTTGCCCAATGCTTCAGTCCAGGTCTGGGAGGAGATCCCTCAGGAGACCACCCACAACCTCATCAGGAGCTCGCCCAGGCTCTGTAAGGAGGTCATCCAGGCACATTGAGACCCCACACAGAACTGAGCCTCATTCTGACCTGTTTAAAGGACATTACTTCAATGTGCGATCAACCTATAGTGTTTTTCCACCTACATTTTTTGTGTGACTCCAAATCCAGGCCTCAATTGGTTGATAAATTGGATTTCCATAGATGGTTTTTGTGTGATTTTGTTGTCAGCACTTTCAACTTTTTACAGAACAAAGTATTCAATGAGAATATTATATTTCATTCAGTGTGAGCAGTGGGTATATTCAGTCTGCTTTGACAAACATCACATTAATAGTTAATAATTTGTCTGAACAAAATCACTGGAAAATAAAAGGGGGTAAATCCATTCAGCTAAGGAGAACAAAAAGCACCAAGAGAGGAAGAGAAAGTAACTGAGCAGGTTGTCCACTCACTCTTCCCTTTCGTTTGTTTTTCCAGGGGATGAAAAGAAGCAGAGATTTTTTCGAGCTGGGTTGAGTTACCAATTCAGTGATACCTCTGTTTTTCTCAGGGGTGCCAGACTGCTGAACATTTCTTTTAAGCACAGCTGATTGCAGGGAGAAAAACTGTGAGGTGAGTCGCTTTTCGCAAAGAGCTTAAACAGCAGTTAAGTTGAAGTATAATCTTAAATCCAGTTAAAGTACGAGTTGCAGTTATAGAAGCAATTTTCTTTGTTAACTATCTTCTTGCCGGCAATATTAAAGAGTAATCAGGGAAATGAGTGGATGGGGAAAAGGAGCAATGATCCCTGGATCAGAAGGATGACTTAATGAATCATTTTGGACTCATACTTCACAAAATAAAAACCAGCGGTGTTTATCTTAAGATAAGTATAAACCCAGCTGTTCAGTTAAGGCTTTAGATGTTTCCTAGATAATATTTGAGAACAATCCGGTTCACCAATACCAAAGAACACAGCAAATGGATCAGGAATAAAGTTTGGGAGAAGTTTTAAACAGGAAGGCCTTGTATATTTTGGAAAACTGAAACCAATGCTGCAATAGTGGAAACTATCTACCAAAAAAGGAAAAAAAAAGCATGGTTCTGCTGAACAAACCAGCTAACTCTCGGCCATCCATCTAAACTGGCAGACCAGGTGAAGAGAGCTATAATTAGAGAAGCAGCCCTTTGTTTCTTTGGAGGAGCTACTGAGATTCATCACACAAGTAGGAATTTCTTATAATTTACGATAAAATACGCTGCAAAAAGCATATTTTACTTTTACATACCATTGCAGCGATGGAATATGGTAGTGGCATCACAGATCTTCAACAGTGGCAGGGTTAGAGTTTGCAAACACTGGGCTGGAGCTTCACCTGATACAAGACAATATACTGCCTTAGATGCAATGATAGTCAAAATGTGGTTATGCTGTAACAAAATCCAAAAAGTCTATGGTTAGTAATACGTTTTTAAACACACTGTATTGTAACAAAATTCAAAACTTAGCAATGATGTGTTAGCTACCTCAGAAAGATGAGGTGATGTAATGAAAAATAAAGCCTGGCAAGTGGTCTTTCGGCACGATGGTTCAGTCTGTAGGAGTTTATGAAATAAGGTGGAAGGGTAGCCAAAAAAATAAATGATGTGCTGTTAAATTAAGTGTGTATTTGCATTTAGGATGGCGAGGTGTAGCTTAGTTTATGAAGTTGGAGTAAGAATTAAAGCAAAACTTTAAGGCACAAATTGAAAGCTGGGGGACTTTTTCCCACGTCAGGGTGACTTTCTCTAAAGCCCATATAGTTATTACTTTTAAATGGAAAATGAGAAGACACCAAATTAGGAGAGCTATTGGGTAAATAGAAAATGGCAAGTTTATGTCACGGAGCATTGAATTTGGCGTAATAGACTTTGTTAATGCACCATGTTGTGTGGATCCAAGGAGCCCACTTGCTGTCTTTTATTAGGCTGTCATTTCTACTGTGTGTTGATCTTAAGCAACAAAACCTCTTCTGGCACTTGGTGATACACTATATTGCCAAAAGTATTTGCTCACCTGCCTTGACTCACATATGAGCTTAAGTGACATCCCGTTCCTAATCCATAGGGTTCAATATGACGTCGGTCCACCCTTTGCAGCTAGAACAGCTTCAACTCTTCTGGGAAGGCTGTCCACAAGGTTTAGGAGTGTGTTTATGGGAATTTTTGACCATTCTTCCAGAAGCGCATTTGTGAGGTCGCACACTGATGTTGGACGAGAAGGCCTGGCTCTCAGTCTCCGCTCTAATTCATCCCAAAGGTGTTCTATCGGGTTGAGGTCAGGACTCTGTGCAGGCCAGTCAAGTTCATCCACACCAGACTCTGTCATCCATGTCTTTATGGACCTTGCTTTGTGCACTGGTGCACAGTCATGTTGGAAGAGGAAGGGGCCAGCTCCAAACTGTTCCCACAAAGTTGGGAGCATGGAATTGTCCAAAATGTCTTGGTATGCTGAAGCATTCAGAGTTCCTTTCACTGGAACTAAGGGGCCAAGCCCAGCTCCTGAAAAACAACCCCACACCATAATCCCCCCTCCACCAAACTTTACACTTGGCACAATGCAGTCAGACAAGTACCGTTCTCCTGGCAACCGCCAAACCCAGACCCGTCCATCAGATTGCCAGATGGAGAAGCGCGATTCGTCACTCCAGAGAACGCGTCTCCACTGCTCTAGAGTCCAGTGGCGGCGTGCTTTACACCACCGCATCCGACGCTTTGCATTGCACTTGGTGATGTATGGCTTGGATGCAGCTGCTCGACCATGGAAACCCATTCCATGAAGCTCTCTGCGCACTGTTCTTGAGCTAATCTGAAGGCCACATGAAGTTTGGAGGTCTGTAGTGATTGACTCTGCAGAAAGTTGGCGACCTCTTCGCACTATGCGCGTCAGCATCCGCTGACCCTGCTCCGTCAGTTTACGTGGCCTACCACTTCGTGGCTGAGTTGCTGTCGTTCCCAAACACTTCCATTTTCTTATAATACAGCTGACAGTTGACTGTGGAATATTTAGGAGCGAGGAAATTTCACGACTGGATTTGTTGCACAGGTGGCATCCTATCACAGTTCCACGCTGGAATTCACTGAGCTCCTGAGAGCGACCCATTCTTTCACAAATGTTTGTAAAAACAGTCTGCATGCCTAGGTGCTTGAATTTATACACCTGTGGCCATGGAAGTGATTGGAACACCTGATTCCAATAATTTGGATGGGTGAGCAAATACTTTTGGCAATATAGTGTATGTTGCTGGCAAATTGGCTTGTTTTACTCACACAAGCTTAGTGCATATCACTAAGTTTTAAATTGTGGCTTGCGTAGCAATTAGGGATTTTTAAGGATAAGTAGTTTACATGTAATTTATATATCACAAAATGCAGCAATAAAGTGATATTATAGTAATATTCAGACAAATGGTTTGGTTTGCAAAATATGTAGATGTACCAGTGGTGGTGTTTAAGCTGCCTTTAAAAAAGTAAGAGGACATTTTGTCATCTCTTTTCTGCAAAGCAGTCCTGAAAAAAATGTTTTATGTGTAAAAGATTTATTTTAATAGGGAAGTTTCCAAATAAAAAAACAGAGTGCAGCTAAATGGAAGAGCTCTCTTTTCAGCTAAAGTGGATGGTAGTAAACCAGCAACATATGTGTCCCATTTAGTTGAAGTTAACATCTGGATCTGGGAATGCAAAGACACTCTTTCAGGTATAGTGGAGGATGTTCTTTTTCTGGGTTGATCATCAAAATAAGTGGTCCTCCTAACTGTCAATCATTCTGGTGGCATAAGGGCCCTCCTACATGCATATCCCCAGGTAGCAATTTTGTTGGTGATGAGCCTTACATAGTGGAAATTTTGCAAATCTGTTTTTGGAAAGTAAGCTTGTGTGAGTGATGCAAACAGCAACTTTTAAACAAAGCAAGCAGGAGGAAAAATGGGCTTGTGCATGCTCGTGCATGCGTTTAATAGGCATTCCCTCTCTGTAGCGGGTACAGGGTTGTGCATGTGCATCTTTTTAAAGTGGAGAGGGCGGGTCTTTTTAAAAATTTGCTAAAATCCTCCGCTATACCATTAACCTTGTCTAGACTTTATGTTTAAATATTTAATTAGCATTTACTGCCCACTATTAGCAGTGTAAGCAAACAAAAATTTTTCACTCCACTTTGTTTCCTCTCAATCAGAGGAAACTGGAACTAAAGGAGGCTGTATTACACTGTGTGTTAAACATTTAAAGAGGTTGCAAGGTGGCCATGTTGCATTTTGAGGGTAATAATTGAAGAACTATCAATGCTCCATCTTAAATACCAATTTCAAGTGACTTTGACCTTCATTTTTTGTTCTACTTCCTTAACAAGATGAAAAGTGACTGTTGCTCTGCCGTTCTATGCTTTATGACTGGCAGTTATAAAGCATAGAACTTAGTATGTTAGTATATGATTTAGTAGATTTTAATTAACACACCCAATATATGGGACCCAGCTAATATGTGGAACACAGTGGCGGCCAGCCCATAGGGGGCGCTGGGGCACCGCCCTCCCTGATAAGAAGAGAGAAACGTAAAATATATTTTTAGAAATTAACTCATAAATGTCTGTTTTACTCTCTAGACTGTGTAACTATAAGCAAAACAAATTATATAAACTACATTTCCCTATCTACTGTCATTAATTTGTGGATTTCCACAGACAGACTCCTACCGTCTCTGTTCTGGGGGCTGTGATCAGACTGACCCACATTTGCAGAGAATCTGTCAATCATGTACTATTGCTAGGTGAATTTAATGGCCAATCAGCGTCTCGGAACTTTATGGTATTGGGGCGCTGAAAATACTGCGCTTTTACAGGCTTCTCTTCTGAACCCAAGCGCAGGTGCAGACAATTAGAGGGAAGATGGCGAATGTAACGAGCGAGATGCAGCTTCCACCAAATTCGGTGAGATCCTTATTTATCTACCCGTTTGCCAGAAGAACATCCCTGTTGTATGATATGAACATTTCATTTCATGGTTATTGTGACTGTGACGAATCCACCTCGTCGCTTAAAACAACCTCTCTAACTTTGCGCGCCACACACACATTCCTGTTATACTGTGTTTGTGAGGACCAATACACTCGCGCTGAGATCAGTAGCTCTATTAACTTAAAACACACAAGCTGTCCTGGTTACCTGCTGGCGTATTGAGGGTGCACACTTAATATTTCAGTGGGGTTAGCCGTGTGTGTGTGTGTGTGTGTGTGTGTGTGTGTGTGTGTGTGTGTGTGTGTGTGTGTGTGTGTGTGTGTGTGTGGGTATGTGGGGGGTGTGGGTGTGTACGTGTTTATGCGGGGACTTGTCATCTTCAGTCTGGCTGCGTCTTTGCTGGGTTCAAACCCAGTTTGGTGTAATTGAATAAGTCAATGAATCTGTGTAAAAGAATTAAGTTGTAAAAATTATTTGTTTTTGTACATCAATTGTTTGTGGAGGTAATATATGGACAAAACTGATTAATGAGAAGAAATCAGAAATAAGAGAGCCTGAGGTGAGGGGCTTAAACTATTTAATGAGGGCTGTGGGAAGAAAAGCGGCAATTTTTGTTTTCTGTTTCTTTGTTACATTGCTGGTAACTGGAGGGAGGCTGAGGCCCAGAGTATCTTGTATATGTTTAGTTTCTTTTGCACCCTGTTTTGAGTTTTTGAGCTCAATAAATCACCAACACCGGTAACCCGACTGAGACTGGATTCTTGGAGGCCAAAGAACCCCGTCACAGTGACCCAAATCATCACTGTTACTGTTATTATATAGTAAATTAATTCATTACTGTTAAATTGTATGTATTGTCCAATTGTTTATTTGAATTCTTATTCCGGGTTAGTTGGAGACATACACTAGGCTATATCAGCCCCACCAAAAATATTTTTCACCAGCCGCCACTGGTGGAACATTGTTCTCTGGTTAGGTGAGACCAAAATTAGAGATCCTGATCCAATATTGAATCAGATATCGTTCCAATATCAGCCAGAAAACAAATATCGTTTCATACCAAAATCCATCTATTATCTCTGATTCCAGCAAACTGATAAGAGCACTCTGCCTCCATCCACTTTTGTTTAAAGGAATAGTACACCCAAAACATGATTAGCCTTCATTTTCTACTCACCCCCATGCTGAACAACACCCTGGAGTACTTTTTTGATATCTCAAATGCATCTGGAGATCTGGGAGGCTTCTCGCTGTCTGCTGACATTCAAATAATGGAGGTCTATCACCTGCGCGATCACGACGCTACGGAAGCCGGCAGACCAAACCAGCGCATTCAGCTCGGCAAAGAACTCATGCTCTTCCTCAACACTGAAGTCCTCAGACATTTTTCTTTCGTTGTTTCTTTCTTTGCACAGGTAAACAGCACATTTCTTCTTCTACGCTTGCATTATCGGCAGAGCAGACGCTGAATGCGCACTTTCATCTGGTTTGGTCTGCCAGCTTCCGTAGCGTCGTGATCGCGCACGTGCGCGCTTTCAGGAAATCCTATACACTACTGTTTATGCTCTAAAAACATTCTAAATGACTTTGTTTCGAGTAAATTCTGGAAGCTACCCACTCAGGACACTTGGAATACATTGGACGAGCAGTATGGAGGAATATTGACACGTTTTTTGTGGACTTTTATGGACCTTTCTCTCTCGGGCGCTGGGCACCTCCATTATTTGAATGTCAGCAGACAGCAAGAAGCCTCCCAGATCTCCAGATGCATTTGAGATATCAAAAAAGTACTCCAGAGTGTTGTTCAGCATGGGGGTGAGTAGAAAATGAAGGCTAATCATGTTTTGGGTGTACTATTCCTTTAAAGTTTATCTAACCCATTTGTTAATAATACATAGGTGCTTTATTTTTATAGCTCTTACTGTTGACAGTTGTTCTCTTTTGGTCAACCTTCAACACTACAAAATAAGAAATAAAAATATCTTTGATTTGTGCTGATGTCATCTTACCACAAAATTAGTATCAGTCAATACTCAATATTTTCATATTGGAAATAAAAAAAAAGGGTTATTGAGACATTTCTAACTATAATGCCACTTTTTAGCCTAGATCTACATATCCACAATGACACATGGTAGTGGCAGCATCATTATGTGTTTGCTTTAACAAGGACATTGCAGCTGATGATAGATACTATCAGAGCTACATAAGATCTTGTGGCATATGGTTCAATAACGGTACAGGCCTTTTTGGTATATTACCATCTTTTGTGAAGGTAAATACTTTTTAAGTACATTCTTTATAATCATGTAGTCTATGTGCATACACAATTTGATAAGTAGCGTAAACCGTTATACTTATGGAAGTGTAATTATCCAGTATAAATTAGTTCTTTAGTTTAACTTCCAAAACAGCTTCACTTTCAGTTACAAAACTAGTGAACATAATTGAGAGAAATACACACAGGTCAACAAAGAGCTGCACTCTGTCTTTTACTATTTCATCTTCCAGTAATGATTTATGTTTTGACTACTTTGGTTCAACCCCCGACCTCTTATATCTTTGTAGCAGTTCTTCTTCCACTGATAAATCTGTTTTCAAAAGACAACTTCCTGATCCGATGCTGAGCAGAGCTGCATTTTTGGAGGGCAGTCTGGCTGGTAAACTACTGTAATGGTTTTGGCCACAGTGCTGCAGCTCAGTTTCAGGCTTTTGATATGTCAACATCCCATAGCCTCGAGCAACATCCGCCCTCGAGTGACACCGACATACAGCTTTTGCGTGTATCCCTCCTTCGACTTGCCTGAAACAAATAAATGGTTAATGGCCAGGCCTCTGCTAAACTTACCGACAGGCCAAGGAGGTAATTTGGCATTTTATACCATGTGTGTTGGAGCAGAGATGCATGAAAAAGCTGCAAGACATTTTAACTAGTTACCTAACCCGTCTTATGTCATCTTTATGTAGAGTAACAGCTGTTTTTATTTTATTTTTATAACCCTCAAAGACTTTCTTACCATGAGATGCCACATTAAACTTTCCGTGACCAACAATGGAGACTGTAAAGGTGATAACTTCAATTATGACATAACTGCTTTCCATTTACACCTGAGACCTTGTGCAGCGATGAGAGAGGGAACATTAATGCTTGAGCACAATTAAGGGATTTTCACTTAGGGCTAGTGGTTTAGAGGTTAATGGCTTTATATTGAGTTTTTTTGAAGAGACAGTACATTTTTAGTTAAACAATCTGTACACTGACTTCATCTGCTTCCCATTGTGTCATGGTTTATATCTTTACTGCTGTATCCTAAAGGATATAATAAAATATTTCCAAAAGTGGAGGGAATCAGAGGGGAAACGTTTTTGTTTTAAACAGTTATTTCCAGATTTTTCCGCATCTGAGGTGACAAGTGTGTTTTTGTTTGGATCACTAATTAGGTACAGTGGAAATGCTGTTGAACCAAGGAAACATATGTTGCCATATGTGTTACGGGCAAAGAAATATATGCTTTATACTTTCTTAGAAAGTATTTGTCTCATTAACTTTCACTGTGGTCTGAAAGTTACAGATTCCTCAGTGTGATAAAGGCAGATGCTTTTGTTTTTTACTCAATATAAAAAAAAAAAAATGACTTCATGTATTTTCAGAATAGCTGTTGTCTAAGAAGTTAGTCAAACAAGCTGTCAGATTTTTTCTCACTGTTGTTTATGATGTACATGTCTTTCTGTGTTGTTCACAAAGTGCTGTGCCGCACTCTGCCAGCCCTGCATGAGACAGACTTCGTATGGATTCATTGATTGACAGCATGACTGGAAGCTGCCAGGCTTGAAGCATTGAGTCGACTCAGTCGATTTGTCCTTGGCTGACAGAGAGAGAAGTGTGATGAGACACAGTAAGAACAAGCTATTAATTCACAGAGTCAGTGTTATAGAGAACGGCAATGCAAGGAAAGCAATAAAAGTGATTAGAAGGGGAAGAGGTCAAATCTTTGATTAAAATGAGAATAGCAATGATTAACTAAATAATAATGATAAAAAGTTATTTTATACATCTAAAAAATACCTTTTTATTAAAACGTTGTTATCATGTTAGAACAACTTAACCAGTAAAAGTTAAACAAAAATAATTTTTTTACCAAAAGAACTTTTCAAACCAAGTAAAAAACAGCAATTGCTTATTGATCTCTTTATGAATAGTTACTTTCGACTGGGGTATTGATTCTATTTAATTTAGAATAGTTGTTTTGATACTAATACTAGGAGAGGAGAGGAGACGTAAAAAGACTCCAGTAGAAGCATACTAACATCATGAAAAATGTTGTTTATTTATTAAAAGTGCATACCTCAATTAGATCAATTGTTATAAAAAGACTTTATGAAGCATAAGTACTAGGAGGAAAGATCTGCAATAACTTTTTAATGTGGATGTTTGATGAATCAGTATTTCAATGAAGGAGCTCTCAGTCCAATTCTGTTTATTTATATAGCACTAAATCACAACATGCCATAAGTTAAAAGTTTGTGTCATGGGAAAAAGGTTGATTTCATTAATTCATTGAATTGCAAAACATGCTCCTCCTGGATGAGCTTGTGTTGACGAATTTTGCTTGCACTTGTCACTCATTCTGCAGCAGTCCCTCACACCGAGCATGTATGTAGCGACAGTAGAGAGGAAAACTCCCTTTCAACAGGAAAAAACCTGCAGCAGAACCATGTTCCATGTGAGCGGCCATCTGCCGAGGCTGTCTAGGATCCAAGGAGACAGAAGCAGAGATACAGAAAGAAACAGATATACAAAACATAACTGTTAATTAGCTCAACAGGCGGCCTCCCACAGGAAAGACAGCCAGGCAGATGAGCTCCAAGCCAAACCCCATGTCAGAGGATGAAATTGAGCACAGAGTTATTCACAGTAAGAGAAACAGCTCTGCAACAGCTTCATGCAAAGTGTGACTGGCATTTTCCAACAACCGGTCCATTTGTCTCCTGCCACATGTACTGGGACAAGAGGGCATTCTTGGGCAAGATAAGCTATTTAGCTATGCTTTCAATATAGAGTTCTAGCAATTACTGTAAATGCTAAAGAAACTGTCATGACTCAAAATAGTATTTTCTAAAATGCTGTCAATTAAAATGAGATTGACAGTATTATAAGGATGAATTTACTTATTATAATAACGGTGATTTTAATGTCCTATTAGCAGTGATAGTGTTAAGAATAATTAGCGAAGTGAATAATGTTGGGAAAGCACAGCACAATTAGGCTGAGGTTTGGATGATAAAATAGGAATTAATAATGGCAATGATGTAGATTAGTGTTGAGAATGGTAAATGTAAATACTGAGATGATGATGGTTATCTAATAATTGTATTGGAGGATGACATTGATAAAATTGCTACTGATTATTATTGATGGGAGGATATTCTACTGTAAGAATTCTTGATGCAGCCCCCGTTATTTTTGTAATGATGATAAATATAAAGGTGATAATAAAGCAGCACTAGCAACCTTTGTGTGAGTAATAGTTACATATGTTCCATAAATATCTTGTTTACACTCCCACTGTGTGATCTAACAGGTCTGCGAGGCAGACTCACACAGACACACTGAGGGCAGTGTTGCAAAATGACAGTCCTCCCTTTCCTTCCAACTGTAGAGAACGCACCTTCAGCCATTCATCAGTGTCACCCTGTCGCCGTCGGTTACAGCCCGGGGCCCTTCGCGTCTTCATTACGGTCCAAATAAATCTGAAATAAAACCACAGATGATTTATTAGCTTCCGGCGGCATCGTGCTGGTTAGCATGGTCTGCCGCCACTCCGGCCTAGAGAGACAGTTCTCCGACATAAGCAGCAGAAATGTGATGTGACAAGGAGACGTTGGTTTGATATCAGCTTGTGATCACAAATTTTGCCTGATGAGAGGAAGGGGGCATGAGGGAACTGTCACAGACCAGTGGTGTTTGTCTGATGCATCCCTGCGTGACGCGGGAAGCAATGTGGAGGCCAAAGAGAGCCTTTAGGAAAAAAGCACAGTCGGCTTGTTCCCCTCATCTTTTTATTTTCTGAGAGAGGCGTCATTTTAAATTCAGCTTTTACATATATAGTTGAGTTATGCTATAGATTTATAATATAAAAAACAAAAATCACCCCTACGTTTTGAAACGAAGTAGATATTTAGTTTTGGTTTGATATAATAAGGTTATGGATAGATTACCTATGCGATGCATAAGCCACAGAATCCACAATTCATTCATTGCACAACATTCCTCTTGCTGAAATGGCAAGATACTGACTTATTAGATGTAAAGAGTCACATTTATTAGATGCGTAAAGTTAAACCAGACATATATATATATACATATATATATATATATATATATATATATATATATATATATATATATATATATATATATATATATATATATATATAAAAAGCCATGCAGCTATTATTACTGCTACAGATGACTCTACAAACTGTTGACTGTGGAAGAACTGACAAAAATGCAAACAGTTCTTTCTAGGTTTACATTTCATAATATTCCAGCTTTAATTATCTTATTCTACGTTTTATTTTTCACAAGGGCAGCTAGAATAAGATTTTCTGACCTTGAACTAAACAATGAATTTTTTCAGCAGAGAAATTTTTATTAAAGTTTATATTTCTTTAAAGGGTAATTTATGTTTTAAAATCTGCAGTGTTTACATAAGTCCTGCACTTAATCATTGTCTATACACCTGCCCTGTTTATATTCATACACAAGTAACTTGAGGATTTTTTTAGGAGACACTATCTACCAAAGCTGTGTCCTGCTGAGATAATAGGTCAGGATTTAATCTGATATTTGTTTTATGCTCATCCACGCCTCTAACCCTGGAACGGGTCCCAGTGTAGCCCTTTAAGCAGTGGCCAGTCCAGATGACAGAGCTCCAGCTGACTCCAGGCCAGTTCAGCGGGGAGAGGCACAGCTGAGACCTGCAGGTGTCACATTGTCCTGGTTGTCACTAACCCAATTACACCTGGACCGCTGGGGATGCGTTCACTCCACTGTGCAGTGTGAGAGCAAAGACACACTTTTCTGTACATGCAGTTGTAGCACATGCAGATATGAAAGACACTGACGTGTCTGTGGGAAAAAATTAAGAAAGGAAATGAATATCTTGCTCCTCAAATGGATCCTATCATGCATTAAAGTGGTTGAAAAGCGAGAAAAATTAGACATTAAAGTTGAATAAGAAACAATCCAGATCTAGCCTACATGCTGCTATTCCCATTTTTCCTATTCTTTTATCTCTCCAGTTGCTCCTTTACCATCAGCTTTGACTTGTTTCTTGGCTGTCATTGATGTTTTTTGTGTCTGTATAAGGAGTGTGTTTGAGGGGAGTGTCAATGTGAGAACATGGTTGTCATTGATGAAATATTTTAATTTAGAATTGCAGTAAAACAACTAAATGGGATTGTTTGTGAGTTGGGCTAACTCATTTCTGACATTATGAGGACATAAACGTGTCTACATAGTTATATTATGACAAAATCTGACAGAAATAACAGATAGTGATGTCACTTAACATTTTTTAGGGTAAACATGCCTTTATAATTATTTAGCAACTCTTTTCTGTATAAAGATAGATTAATTATCTTAATCCAATTTAAATTTCTCTTAAATTGTGAAAATGCAGCTGTGTGGTAGTGTGTGTGTGAGTATGTGTGAACTCTAATGGTGTTTAATGCCCAGACTAATGGTTTCAGCAGGGAATCCTTGTGCCGAGCATCAGTCCATGCTCGGGCTGATCGCTGGCAGGACCATTCCTCATCTTGATACCGCATGGAGGTGAGAGCCAGGGGAACACACACACACACACACACACACACACACACACACACACACACACACACACACACTCGCACACACTAACGGTCTGATCTCTGTTTCTTTTTCCTTTGTTTCCTATTAGTCCTTTAGTTTTGTCTCTTGTTACCATATAAAGTCTCTCCCAGTTTCTTTTCAATTATATTTTTATATTCTTGTTGTTTTTATTAGTTATAAGCACCAGCCTTAAAGCTTAAACTTATAAAACCAAATGTACATATTTTGCACCTGATAAATTATCTAACACTGCAAACACCACTAAAAGGTATTAGAACCATACAAAGTATGCAGGAAAATCATTTTATGATCATTTATAATCATTAATTTGCCTCCATTGACACAACTAAAATTTGATATCATAGCCTTTTGAGAATTTCAAAGGGGTGATATATTTTAACAGATGGAAGCTGAAGACGCATGGCAGGCGATGATGTCATGCCAACGGTGGCTGTTAATCAAAACCAATTGCAGTTTGTCAAATAATCTTTGTGCATGGGATTGTTAAAGACTTTGTCTGGCTTTATCCAATTAGCTGGTCTGTAATAGATAAAATCTACCATCATTCCCACTAAGTCATACTTATTAATTCAAGATATTGATTGTTAGTCATGATACTGTTATAACATTGATCTATTGTTATCTTGATTTTCATACACAGAGAAAATGGTAAATGGTAAATGGCCTGTATTTAGTGTTTTTTCAAGTCATTTGACTTGACCAAAGCACTTTACACTACATGCAGGTATTCATGCGATCACACACACACTGACACATTGATGGTGGCAAGCTAAATTGAAGCCAAAGATGCCCTGGGGCTCATTGACAGAAGCGAGGCTGCCATACACTGGTGCCATGGGGCTCTCAGATCACCATCAGTAGGCATACGGGTATGGTGTCTTGCCTATGGAAACAACAACACCGAAAGCCAGAAGGGGGGGTTGAACCGACAACCCTCCGGTTGCAGAGCAAACACCTGCATCTGACGCCAGTATAGATCTGCACAAATATAAAAAAAAGTCAACAGCTAATGTTAGACTAATGTTAGCTGCTTAGCAGTAAGTTAGGTTGTCCGATCACATCAGCCTGCAGCTGTTTTTTAATAGATAAATTTAGCTATTTATAGCTTAAATAACAGTGTTTCTTTCATATTCACAGCAGATGATATCCCTGCAGCTTTCATACCATGACTTTCTTAGTTTTTATTACTGGAATATATCCAGCTACTTGAATGTATTTATGATATATGCATGACATGCACACATTCCTGCACCCAGAACACTGGAACGGCTGTACCTTAATACAACAAGCCTGTCCATGCATGTCTAAGACTCATTTCTTGCCCTGACGCTTGGTGTTATAGCCTCAAAGCTTGACCAACACAAAATTAGTGTTATGTCGGTAACAAAAAAGGATTTCTATTAAGTGTGTTTTGTTTATCTTTTTTTCTTGTTATGAATACAGGATATTTAATATTTTATGACAAGCTAGATGCAAAAAAAATGCATTCTGCAAATTATATTTTAAAATCTGTCTCAGCCTATGCATTATTACCTTTGCAAAAGAAAATTCAGACTGCTGTAAATTTGGAATATGAGATCTACAACACAAAACTATGTTTTTGCTTTTTTTAAGCAAAAGATAAGATAGACTGATTGAAGTAAAAAAAACCTTTAGGATGACTTTCATTCATATTTAAATCACTGCATACATAAAATTTTTCAAGAAAACACAAATGTCACCAGTTCCTTGAACAGGTCCAACAATTGTGCACTGCAGCTAAAGCAAACTGTATAAAACACAAATTCAGCTTTATTATGAAAACTTGTCCCTCCTAGATGAACATGCTTTGACAATTTTCGTTTCCATTTTTCATTGATTTAAAGGCAATCCTTCACACAGAGCATACTTGTAGCGATAGTGGAAAGGAAAAACTCCCTTTTAAACAAGAAAAAGACCTCCAGCAGAACCAGGCTCAGTCTGAGCGGCCATCTGTTCAGGTCGACTGGGGTTAAAGAGACAGAAGCAGACATGCAGAGAGAAGAAGATATACAAAAGGTAACTGTTTACTAGCTCTACACGTGGTCCCATCCAGGAAAGACACACCCAGGCAGACAAGCTCCAAGTCAATTCTCTTGTCAGAGCATGAAAGAGAACACATACAGTTAGTCACCGTGAAAGAAACAGGACTTCACTGAAGAAAAAAAAAGAACAGTACAAGCTCTAATATCTATAAACAGAGATATTGATGGCAGCAGCGCAGTTGATTCTATCCAGGAGGTAGTCACAGCAGAACAGGAACAGACCAGATGAAGCTACTATGACAGGAAAGAGAGAGAACATAAAGCTATAAGTTGAATTTTAAAAATGCTGCAGAATGGGAAAATAGAGATAGAATGAAGCAGAATGAGGAAAATTGGTCTCTATGTCATCTAGCAGCCTAAACATATAGCAGCATAAATATATAAAGTAGCTCAGGACAACTGCCTATTTTGGATGGCATATGAGAAAGATGGAGCCACAGTAGGGCCAAGGTTGAGCCATGCAGAAATGTCTGTCCAGACTGAAATTCTCCCTGCCCAGATCTCTCTTTTTAATTGTCATCATTATGATAATCAAAATCTCTTGCATGTGTTTCATGACAAAAAAGCCCTTTGTGGGCTGGAGAACATTGATAGACATTGTAATAGCTTGAAAAAGTGAAACAGTACTATTACCCTTGTCTATAGCAAATTCAACTTAAATTTTTTTAGCTAGTTATTAAGGGATTTAAATGTTATTCTAATTTGATAGGGCTGCACAATATTTTATAATTTTTCTGATACTTTGCTTTCTTTACCATTATACATTATGTTCAAACCCCAAAATAAACATTCACTAGACCAGTGGAAGCTGGAATTGGATGCAGTGGAGACATTTGACATGGCATCATGAAGAAAAGTGAGTTTGCATGTGTAGATTCCTTTGTAGTTCACGTGTCACTTTAAATCAAGTGGACATTTTTTTTGTAGGTGCTAGTTGCATCGTTGCCTTACAGCAAGGCCGTCCTAAGTTTGAATCATGGCAACCTTCACATGGTATTTCTTGTGTTCTCCCTATTTTTACATGGTTCCTTCAAATCTTGAATGTTAGGTCAACTGTTCTTTCTTAATAATCCTGTGGTAATGGTGTGCGTGCATGCTTGTTTGTCCGGTCTTCCCTGTGGTGGGCAGGGAAGCTCTCCAGGGTGTAGCCCAACTCTTACCTAATGCGGGCTGGAGTCATGAAACCGTGCATTTGTAGGTTGAACCAACTAACTTACAAAGTAAGCTGAATAGACACTGAAATGATAAAGTAGAAAGTGCAAGATGGTTAAGATGTTTGGTAAAGAGGAAGAGAAGTTAAGAGGGAAGAGTTGGAGATAACAGGAGAATGGGGGTAAAGGTCTGCATGTAGAAGAGGGAGAAGGCAGTAGGAAATTAAGTGCCGGGTTGAAAGTCAGAAGAAGGCAGGGGGTATTTGTGTATGTGTGGGTGTAAGTGTAAAGTAATAGGCCAAATATGAGTATATTGGTGCCCGGCAGCAGGGTTGGGGGTGTGTCTCAGTACAGATGCTCTGTGACTGGGTGTCACAACTCGGGCCAGGAAGCTGAATCCACCGATTAATCACCAGGCCCCTCCGCTTGTAATCAAACAGGCTCTAGCCATGATGTATGAGCCATGTCACAGTTACTGACTAACACACACACACACACATACACTCTCAGTTCATCACATGCACACATATAGTCACAAATGTATAAGGACGAACAGAAGCAAGCGGCAACCAGAACAACCTCTGGCAGCTCACCGGGATTATGGCTGTCTTCCAAAGGCCACTGGGGCAGACTTCAAAGACGCAAACATAAACATCGTACAAAAGCCAACACATGATGATCTTAGTCAGCGATGCAGGGCTGGAGGAGAGAAAGACCTGGTGAGAAAAAGAGGAAAGGGAGAAAAAAAACTATGGTGAGTCAGAAGGAATTTGGGACTAATGAGGAAGACAGATATACTGAATAATGGGAGTAGAAGAAAGACGGATGAAAAGATTGGAGTCCTGAAAAAGAGGCTTGTAAATGAACGAATCAGGGAAGAGATAATGAGCCAGCGAGCTACAGAAGGAAGTGAGAGGCTGAGGATGGGATGAATAGGTGAATCCACAGGGATGAGGGTAAAGCACTTGGTCAGCAGTTTCCACGGCAGCACTGGACAGGGCAGCTGACAGGATGAATAATTTAGGACGAGGTGTGTGAACATTGATCCCACAATACACTTTTACCTGATCACACTGACCCATGCACATATTCTCCCAGAAACAGACACACTTAAATCACCCTGGCCTTTCACAGATAAGAGCTGACCTCCATCAAGCTTGGATGAAAGCAAATGATCGCCATATTACATCCATTATTTGGGCTACAACACTGTTACAAAGCCTTTATCTTCAGCTTTTACTCTTGCTCACATAAGCATCTCTAGCTTATTTAATATAAAGTACCCTCCTCATAAAGTGGCACACCTTGTAAATGTGTAAAAATATAAATATTTATATTATACCATTGAAAATTACCGTATGCTAATAAAATGTAAAGGAAACTTAACTTTTGAATTCATTGAATTCGTTTAGATAGAAAAATCTGAAAGATGAAAAAGAAATTAGTCAATTTTATGTAAAATTTCTTACCTAAGACCTATTATTTGTAGTGTAAATATGACATAAGACAAAGGCCTATTCCACATGTATAATTTTATTGTGTTCTCTTTAGCAGTACAGTTGCAATATTGAATGCAACAACTGTAATAATGGCCATGTGATAATGGGCACGGTTAATTGGTGTGAATGTATACTGGGATAGGTTTAGAACCCTTTTTTTTCTAGAACTAAAGCGTTTCTTCTCATCTCCTACAGTACTTTGATCATACCCATTTTAGAGTTGTTATTGTCAACAACAAGTGACGATAATAAAGGTTGTTTTTGCTACCTGTACAAGGACATAATTTTACCTGCTGAGCTTTGATCTGCTTGGTGACAACCTTTCTTTGATGAGTTGTATTTTTTACACTAGATGCCCTAAAATTTATGGGAAAAGAATCTCCCTTCAGGATCTGTTAAATACCTGGTTCTCAAAAAAATTACCTCTCTTGCAAATTCAGACATTTCTCGTTAAAAGCTCCTTGCCAAAAAATCCTCAGAGCTCAACTGACTGTTTTCGATCTGAACCAGCCCACACACCCCTTGACAGTTTTACAGCTCTGCTTCAGCCCGTGCTTATCCTCTTCTCTCCAGAAAAGTAGAGCAAACTACTAATCAACTTTGGACCGTCCAATTTCTACAAAGAAACATGCTCATTTTTTTTATTTTTTTTTATCACAGTTGTCCTTTTTTTACATCTTGATCACAACATCATGTGGGATACTGACCTTTTTTTTATGATAGCAATAAAAAAAGAAGCTTTTTATCCCGGATTAAGAACCACAAGTTAAAATACCTAAATTTGCCTCGTGAAAATTAGGGCCCTTTTTAAACAAATAAAATAAAAATGTGAGCTGGATGATAGTTTATGATATTAAATAAGTTCCACCTTCTGCAATGAATCTTAAGAACAAGAAGCTTCCAACCCTTTGCCCATACCTATCAACAAATGTTATACCTAAGACACTGAATATTAGTGTGTTATTCTTTGTAATTAAATATATGTATATTTTCTAACCTTTTATCCCTTTCTGAAAACGTACCTTATTACATCTTATGTTAGTTAGTTTCTGATACCCAAATAGAAAAGGTGGTATAATGAAATTTAACAGGTTAAAGAAGCATAACTTAACCAAAGTAAGTAAGTTAGATATTATTTATCTGAGTAAGTCTCTGCAAGCTTCGGGTGGGAGATTGTAGAAATTTAATTT